TTTCCTGATGACTATGCATTTACATATACAAGCCTATAGGGCCCCATTCTCCTTCAAATCACCAATGCCAGACACCAAATATACCAAATGTGGGTACTGAGAACTAAACTTACATCTTGTACAAAAGCAGTACACTCTTAACTACTTAAGCATCTTTCTATTCCCTTAAAATAAAGTTTTAAAGATACACACACACACACACACACACACACACACACACACACACATACATTTTTACATATGAAATGTTGATTATCATGGAGATTGGGTAAAATTATGGGAAAATAATTACTTATAAATCAAATATTTAGTAATTTGTAGATGTGAATATAGTGTGATAAGCCTACTATAAAAAGTTTTCAGGTGCTATGATGAACTCACTTCATATTAATACTCACTATGAGTTTTGTATATAAGACTTTTAGATGCAATGATACTGTTTTCATTATCCTTGATGTGCTTTTGAAACTTATATCCAATGATGTTCTTGAATGGCATTGTAAATTACTCCACAAATCATCAATAAAAGGATACAGAATACCTTCACTGACATTATAAATGTATGATATTTCAAATATGTATTGCTTTCCTTATATGGAAAATTTTAATATTAATATATTTAAACAAAAATAGACTTCTTTCTATGCATATAAATTGAGAATTACATTCTGTCACTTCTAATTTACAGCAGTCCTGATAAAAAGTGAGGAATGGGAATGTCTCTTCTTTCTTGCTCTTAAATCCTCATAAAGATCATCTCCCTGCTACATAACATGGAGATATTAATCATTCATGCCAGTAAATATCAGATGTTGTGAGCACACCATGCAATAAAATTTGATCCTTTTGTTTTTTAAAGTGAAGTGAATTTTATCTATTTGGAAACGCAAAGTTAAAAAAAAGTTTTAAAATAACACATAGCACTGACTAATATTTTATTTTTTTATTTATTTTTTTATTTCTATTTATTTTTTTTGACTTTTTTTTGACTTTTTTTTTTATTTTACAATACCATTCAGTTCAACATAATAGCCACAGATTCCCCTGTTCTCCCCTTCTCGCTCCCTTCCCCCCCAGTGCACCCCCCATTCCCACCTCCTCCAGATCAAGGTCTCCGCCGAGGACCGGGATCAACCTGGTAGACTCAGTCCAGGCAGGTCCATTCCCCCCCTCCCAGACCAAGCCAAGTGTCCCTGCATAAGTCCCAGGATTCAAACAGCCAACTCATGCAATGAGCCCAGGACCAAGCACCAATGCACAGCTGCCTCCCAAACAGATCAAGCAAATGACTGTCTCACCCATTCAGGAGGCCTGATCCAGTTGGGGGCCC